GAAACCCAGGATCTTCATCGGCTTCCAAAGTGAGTGTCTTAGCGTATCCATAGTATATCTTATCAAACTCGTTTGTCCCAATCATCCTTCAAGTATCAACTCATAATTCCACCAATCTAGGCTTCTAGGATGATGGGGACAGGCGGCTCATCGGCCACTACTGAGCCAACAGCCGACGAGTAGCGCCTGTTATCTTTTGCTAACGTCACCACTAGAGTAAGTACTCTTGTAATTAACATCTTAATCTTCCCAAAACTAACCAATTCCTCTTTTTAGGCCGACCCCCAATTGAGCGCTAACGACGAAGCCACGGAGCAGATCCCAAAGACTTCATCAAAAGGAGGGACAGAGGTACTTCCTGGAATAACTCCTTGCTTGCATTGAGTTTGAATAATCATGAGTAACTTTCCTACAGATTCTATCTGGAGGTCCAGACCATGAACAGAGCTCTTCAGGAACGTCGACTACTCAGGTAAAACAATTCTCGGCTATTCCTTAGTCTTTTCTCATCAATCTTGTTGATCACTTCCCCATTAGCCAACTGGAGACCAGGAGGAGGACGATTCAAGGAATGCGGATACAAGCACCACTAATTCCTCAGGTGAGGGGGCTCGTGATGACCATCAAGAGGTCAATGGTAAGTTTCTGAGTCCGTTTTCCCCATTTCTGTTTGCAATTCTTTGGATCTGAGCTCTTTCCCCTATTTAGACATGAACTTTGAGTCAGGGCCGACCCCTAGTGCTACGATTGATCAAGAATCTGGTCGGCCAGCCGGTGATAGGGGATCTGAAGATATTCCATATCCTCAACCCACCGATGGTGAACATCAACACACTACATCCTTCTTCTACCCGAATCTCCTGACTCGTATTAAAACTAATCTTTGGTCTGGGCAGGATCTAAGAAGCCAATTGAGGAGCCTGATGAAGGTATGGGCACATCGTTGGACGTTCCCCCATCCCCAGTGAAAGAGGTATGAGTTACTTTATAATGGTCTAGGGATTAGGTGCCTTGTTGTTCTCAAACCTGACTATTTCTTTGCAGGCGCAAAGCTCACCATCTCTAAACGTCTTCCCCTTTGACATCAAAGATTATATTGAAGAGGGGGAAATAGGCTGCTCTGCTCCTGATACCCATCAAGAAGAACATGTCTTGTCGTCTGCAACCAGAGATCGGCTACAATTGATGCTTTCCCATTTGGAAAGAGACATAACCGACCTGGTCTGCAATGCGAGGCCGCTTCTGGACATCTTTCTAGCCATCAAAGGAGAATTGAATCAAGACCTTCTCGCTATTCTAACTCCTGTCGCCTTTATTGAGGGTCAAGCTCCCAAAGTGATTCAAGCCAAGCAAAGATTAGCTGACCGCGAAGTTCAAAGCACCCTGGTTGTTCGAGAGGAATCAACCAAACAGGAGATGCTCCATTTGAAGGAATTGATCGATGGCTCGAAGAATGCTCTTTCTAAGTCTCAAGAGAAAATCAATTCTTTGAAGATTGAACGAGAGCAGCTGCTGATGAAGCTGGAAGAGATCAACTCTTTAATTCAACTTGAGGAAGCCAACTCAGCCCAACTTCGTAAGACGGCGGAGGAGAAGAAAAAGGAGATGACTGCCAAATACAACGAACTTATGGCGATCCAAAGTCAGAAAGATAAAACCGTCCTTGGGTCAGCTGACGAAAGACAACCGGCTGATTGCACCACACCGCAAGGGACGGTCCAGCACACAAGATGATGACTTGCGGCTCACGGCATAGCTCGGCGCACGTCGCAAGACACCTCGGTGACATCCTAAAGATAGCATAGAATTTGTTAGGATATGTCGAATGTAATATTCCATATAAATCTTATTCGTTACTCGATTAGTTGTAGACCTGATCGGTATGTAACCCTACCCCGGGCTATATAAGGCGGGTAGGCGACCCCCTCAAAACACATGCAATCATATACGATAGCCAATACAAACCGTCGGGACATAGGATTAGGGTATTACGTCAAGCTGACGGCCTGAACCTGTCTAAATCTTGTGTCTTGTCACCATCTCTCTCCTGATCTCGCTCACCTCTACGATAACCATCATGGGTATACCCCTCGGTGGACTGCCGAGCACGTTTAGTCGACACTATTCCTCGAGCGAACGTGCCTTGTGTAGTTGGAGGGAAGGAGTGTGGAGTGCCCGCCTACGAGCAGGTTCCTCGCCATGGCGCCTCCCTCGGCCATCCAAGGCGCGGCCAGAGGAGGAGCAGATGCGGGAGTGGCCGCCTGCGAGCAGGTCCTCGGCCATGCAGAAGCGGACGAGAGAGGAGTGGGGGTCGCCAAGGCGCTCCGACGAGCCTCACGCGCGAGTGGGCGGGGAGGTGAGCGGCGTAGACCTGTGTGGGACGTGAGAGGGAGGGGCATCGAGCAGAAAAACGCCAACAGTGGAGGAAACACGAGCGGGAGACTGCGGTGCCAATAACGTAGGATCCAGTGCAAGTTCAATTCTTTCCACCTCTTGATTCCTAGACAATCTGAAATTAATCAAGGGTGTTTAGGTGGGATTCTCAATTATTTTCACCGAGAATCGGATTATAAGCTGAAACAGACAGGCCCATTGAGCCCAAGCCCCAAAGCGAACTCAACGGGTTCGATCTTATTAGGCGAAGTGAAACTAGGTGAGGAAATTTTGACGAAATCACAACAAATATGTTTGTAAAATTTGACGAAATCACACCAATTTTGACGAAATCACAACAGATGTGTTTGTAAAATTTGACAAAATCACACCATTTGCTTGTCATGGACAAGATGTGATTGATCTTCGCCAAATCAGACAACCTGTCTACCGTCCACTTGCGCAATTTTACAGGAAACCAGTGGGGCCCATAGCCTGGAGACCTAGTCCAAGTCATCAGGTGTGCCCCCTGTTGGCACTGTCGGCGTTCAGGTTTGCACGAGATAGCCTAAAGATGGGGCAGGCAGTGGTGGAAAATGAAATCATTCAAAATGCTATTTCTCACCAGAGAAACCCCGCTCGCCCTCTCATGTACACTATTTCAAGATTATGAATACACAGAATAATAGCCAAAAGATTGCACAAAGTGATGCTTTAATTTTAACCATACAAACAAACATTAGCAAAGAGAGGTTAGAGGATCCATAACCCTACTAAATGAGGCCTAAGTAAAATCAAGCAAAGTAACTCGGGAAGAAACTAGGAAAACTGGGTGTCAAGTTTTGCAACGACCCAATAATCTAAAGGAAGGGTAACAGTAAACAGGAAAAATAGGGTGTCATTTTAACAACGAACCATACCCAATCTAGAGGAACAGTAACAACAAACACGCAAGAGATCAATGACATACTTAACATAGCCAATAATCTCCTTGCATCAACCAAATTTTGCAGGTCAAATAACAGCACATTGCGAAGGTTTAAGAAACAACTACCATGCCAAGGAACAGATGTCAAATATAATGTCAGCTGATTTAACAGGAAGCAGGTCCTAGTAGAAATATTATGAATGGGCATAACAGTTTTCACTATCAACAGTGTGAAAAGATAGTGAGAATCAACAGTTCATGGATCAATGATCAACTCAACACTTCTTTTATATTTCTCCAGGTAGAAACATTTAGCTAGTTTTTCTGGAAGATCCTTTCAAAGCAACACACAAAATTAAGCTTGTTCCTTAGTTGAGTCTTTTTTCTGCAAACTTCATGCGATCAAAACGAATCCTCTCTAACCGAACCTGCATAAGGAAAAGCATAATGTAAATTTGTATAGCTAGACATAAAACAAACAAGCAATATACGCAGAGACCAAACTGCAATTGTGCTGATCATCCTTCTTCTAACAGAAACACATAAAAGGTTTAAGCCAAAAAATGAACTCTACTGGTAGTGTGGACTAGGCAAACATTGCATAGCCATTAGGCGACTTCATTGAAATAATTTTCAAAACATCATATTGTAGTGCAGTTAATGTAGACAAAGCTGCCATTGTAGAACATCGACCAAAAGAGTTGACCGGAGTCCATGCAAAAATGTTAGGTTCAATTGACCCTTAGATTGTTCTTTTTTCTGTGGCAGAGAATGCTAAAATATATGCAATCAACAAGAATATGAACGTGCTTCCTCCTGTGTAGGTACAGGATGGAAGCAGAAGGCGATAGAAGATGGTTTATGGAAACTGAGTCTTGATGTGAGTTCCTTATCCTGAGAGAAGTGAAAGCACTAGCTCATAGCTTTGGCTTAAAGTATCACTAGCAATTGCCTTTCGTATTGCATGCCTTATTACTAGCTAAAGGTAGGACATTGAGCTTTTATTTGGTGTTGAAAAAAAAGTTTTGAAGAGGGGGAAATAGAGGATTATAGGTTTGCTGTCAAATTATTAGTTAGAAAAAAAAACAGGGCCCATGTGGTGGACTGGTGTATGGTGTCAGACAAAAAGAGGACAAAGAGCAGTTTCGAAACAACCAATGCTGAATTGCTGATAGTGTCCACTTCAATACTATCAGAGAAGATTATAAGAACAAATTTGGAGGGATCTCTAATAAGTGGAGTTTCCTTTTATGAGCATTGAAACGAATGATTTAAGATAAGTTGATTTAGCTGCTAGAAAGTTCACTAGGCTTGTTCTCTACATAACGCTGCCTACAAGGTGCTATTAATTAAAATAAACCAAGATCCTTTTATGTTTGAAATTACATTCGTTCTCAAGGGAGGAATTGTCAGAAAAATATGTGGTTAGCTCCTTCTATGGGAACTAATCATGTACATTGAAAAGTGACAGGACAAAAAGAGAAGAGCTAGGAGTGATTTGAGGACTTGGGATAGATGTTTATGGTCCTTCTTTAAAGGGTATAGCTCAAGGTTGAACTTCTTTAAAAGATTAATGAAATATACAAAAATTAAGGGTGAAACTTTTGGTATAATCTATAATGTCACACCAAAAACATGTAAGATAGAAGTTTCTTTACCTTAAATAGAACCTGAGCTTGAGGTGAAGCTCTTCTGCAGTTTATAGTAACTCATTGAGTTGGTTGTCCTGAGAAACTGGGCATGCATCCATGTCCACAGACAATGTACGAAGAAAGCTTGCTTTGGAGAGAATAAGCTCTATGAAATACAATGGAAGCCACCCGTTATAACTAATTATTTCTACAAGTTGAAGATTGGCACACATGCCATTAGTCCACTGTGCATTTAGGAACTTCCGATTGTCAACCATTTTCGGTCGTTGAAGCTAACCAATAAAAGTAAAAAGAGAAATCAGTTGGTATTAGCAAGATGACTTTCAAAACTGTAATGATGACTATCCGAAAGGCAACCTTCAACATTACCTCTATTTTAAGTTTTTCAAGGTTCGGAGAGGTCCTTAGTAAGGAAAACATTAATAAAATGTTGTTCATTTCAGCAAAGTCTGTAAATAATTCCATGCTCTTCAAGTTGGAAAAGGTGAAAGGAATTGCATCCACCTTCAAATCACATGGCTGGGAGGGGAAAAAAGTATGAGATGATAAAATCAAAGCAATAAAAACTGAACACAAGTATGTAAGATGGATGGGATTTTATAACATTGTGTTGAACCAAGGGAGCATGCAGAAGCTAAGTCCATGGAAGAAGCATGCATGCGGAATGGTTAGGTATCATCAAACTTGTTTCGTTAGTCATTACTAAGGCAGGGTTTCAGATTATTTATTTACTCGAGCAAATCAAGTTTACACCTTTATTAAGTCAATAATGTAAAGTTGAACTTCTATCACAATATTCACTTACTTTAGCTCATGACATTCAATCCATGCATGATTTATGCCAAACAAACAAAAAAACAAAATAGGGTGATAATATACAGGAGCAATTAAACAATGTACCTTTACGTAGAAAATGAGCTCCCGAACTTGGAAAACGCCGGCGAGGAACTCTACGAAACCAGCAGGTGCACCATGAAGTTGGTATGCATATTGGAGGTTGGGCGCCTCCAATATCTTTGGAGTAAACGTATGTCTCAGAGTGTGGAGATTGAGCGCCTCAATCACGCGGTCCATATCATTGGTGTAGATCTCCTCAAGCACAAGGACACCAAGCATGGGTGAAGCACGAATCATGGCCTCGAATTGGCTCTCCCCGTTGTCTGCAAACTTGACATCCGTGAGCGATAGCTCCTTGAGCACGGGAAAGCCGGCGAATCAACCAGGCTGAGGGAGCGGTGGAATGCTGCACCGCTGCAGGCTGAGGGACAGCCGGACAGGAGACGGTCGCAGGAGAAGATGGAGGAGTGGACGGTGAAGTTTCTTCCATAGTCGTTGTAGATGGTGATGGACTCGACGCTGCGGCGGGAAAGCGCGATGAGCCACTCGTCGACGTGGGAAGCGTATGCGGCGTCGTCGTCGTCGTCGTCGACGTGGGTCTTGAACCGGGAGACGCTGGGACCTGCGTAGCGGAGGAGTACGCGGTCGACGACGGAGGGGGGCGTGCCGTCGGGGAAGGAGACGGCGAGCCCAGGGAGGGTCTCCCAGCGGCGGCGCCAGGCGCGGGAGAGCGCGGAGGTGCGCACGGTGTCGCGGAGGTCGAGGCGCGTCAGTATCTCGTCCTGTAGGTGCTCCGGGAAGGAGGACAGCAGGTCCATCGGCGGCGGCGGGAGGGCGAGGGTAGCGCGCTGAGGCTAGAAGGGATAAAGGGTGCGGCCTTGTCGCTGGGGCTCAACTTGGGCTGGGCTGCCAGATAGGTAAGAGATCTGGCAAAATCAGTCGTTCCTTTGTTGGTCTTGAAATTTTCTTCGTTTTCTATTTAATACTCACTTTAATTTTTATCCCTAATTTAACACTACCGTCCGTTCTGTTAGCTTCTCCCATTAGTAACCATGGGCCACGTTGTCAGATAATATCTTTTGGGTTCAAATTACCCTCCTTCCTCTCCTGTTTCTCTTCTCTCCCAGGTCTCCCGTTCCTTCTCATTTTCTCTCCGGTGCGTCTCTGCTCCAACCCTAGACAAAACCGGCGCGGCAGATTGAGGCGGCGGCCGGCCGTCGGCTCCCTCAGGCGAGGCGAGATGGCTACGGCGAGCCCCCCCCGGCGGGGCGAGATGGCAACAAGCGGGTGCCGGTTGGGCGACGAGGATAGCGGCGTCAGGGAGCGGGATAAGCACGCTAGGGGATAGGGCGGTCGCGGCTCGACTTGTCTTGTCGCGGCCGCCGGCGAGTCGCCGTTGGGCAAGAGCCACACGGCGGGCGGCGGGCGGGCGTTCGCGGCGCGACGCTCCCTGGGCGCGGTGCACGCGAGGCAGGTGAACGGCCGGTTAACAGGGCCGGGTTTGAGCACGTTTAACTTCGAAATTTGAACTGCGCTTCAAATTCTACCTTTATAAAACTTGTAGCCCTAACATCCAGGTTTAAATCTTACAAATGGATTTTGCCCAAAATCTAAAAGGATTTGAAAATATGGAGCCCCAAAGTTTGTGGGAACACGTTCATTCAGACAGACAAAATTTTCAAGTTTGCCGATTTTCAGAGTTTTGGCTAACTTTGGCTCAAATTTTGAACGGCTTCCGGTTTGAATCAGGCCAAGGTGTAATGGACAAAGTTGTTCTTTGATCTTAGGGATCAAACTTCTATTACTGACTTTTCTTAAGTTCAGTTCAACTTTGAGGAGAAAACTGCTTGCCAACTTGCATGTGAATTTGAACTCCCGTGAACTTGCATGTGAATTTGAACTCCTATCAACTTGCATGTATATGTGAATCGTTATGTTTTTGAAGTTAATGTGGTGCCGGTCTGTGAACTTGCTATATCATGTGTCATTGTCATGCTGTATAAATGTTAAAATAAATGTTGTATAAATGTGTTAAAATGATGATGTATCATGTTGAAAAAAAAAGAAAAAACTGCAAACTAGCCACCAGCAAAAAAAAAAGAAAATAAAAAAAGCGGCGAAGCAAATTTGAGAGGAAAAAAAAACCTGCGTCCGCCTCTAATGCATGCGCCCAGTTGCAAAAAAAAAAGACCAGCAGTGCCTCTGCATGCGCTGCATGCATGCGTCCAACGCTCGATGCATGCATGGCGCCAGCGTCAGCGTCTGCATGTGTCTAGGGGCAAAAACGTCTTTTTAACGGCCAGATAACACCGTTAGCTAATGGATTTGACGGTAGTGTCAAATTATGGATGAAAGTTGAAGTGAATGTCGAATAGAGAACGGAGAAAATTTTAGGACCAATAAAGGAACGACTCGTTTTTCCAGTGTCATCTCATAGATTAACGCATCAGCCATGTTGCTTGCTTGCTGGGCCAGGCCGAGCGAAGACATGTTTAGTACACCAGCCCACTTGCCAATTAAGTAGCCCAATCAGGATGCAAGTTCCTAACATAACCTCCCTCCATAAAGCCGAAGACAATTGAGTAGCCCAATCAGGACGGTTTGTGCTTTTGGTTAACTGGACAATAGCTTGGCCTGTTCGTGTAGATGCAAAATCTCTTTCGTTTCTAGCAGGCCTAGCTCACTAGAAGCGATGACATTTATGATTGGCAACGACTGAATTTACTGTAACTTCAGCATAGCCAAACAACGTCCCTGCTGCACCTGGCTCAACGTAAAACAAACATGCACTAGACCAGGCTCGGGCTGGCCTGGCCTTGAAATTCAGCCAGGCCCGAAGCATTCAAGGTACCGTACATCTCTAAACATCCAGCAAATTGAGGAACAAATCATTTGCTACAAGCCCACAAGGCCACAACAAACCACCGTTTGTGGCAGATGCCAGTCCAGGGACCCTCAAGGGTACAGCTCCCAGTGTCATTCAAAATGCCTCACAAGATCGAAGCTTCTTGTTGCATTCTAAAAAAAAACCCTCGACCTGCACAGGGTAAGCCACCCCGGACATTGCTGTAAGAGAGAAGACATTCTCACACATGCCCCACCCTGACACAGGGGTACCGTTGCCCTGTGAGAGCCGGGCCAGGCCTTTTTGACCTATGCTTTGGCCGTGGGATAGACGAGGGAATTTTTTTAACCCCAACCTGAAATTCACTCAACGGAAAGTTAAACTCAGGACCTGAGGAGTGCCGTTGAGGCCACCTAACCGGTTCAGCAAAGCACGCTTTGGCTTCTTGTTGCATTCTTGCCGGTGTCTCACCTGCGGACAGCCAACAAATGCAAACATCGGTTTCTATTTTTCACGACAGACTGAGATTAGCAATGCCAGGTTCAGATATCAGCATTTGAAGAGCAAGACATGTCCTAAGAGGAAGCATCAATTACAAAGTACAACAGCAATTACACAACGAGCTGGACAAATCCATTGCAAGTACCATAGGCGGGTTCTGAAAATTGCAACATACATGATGGATTGAGTACACCCTAGAGTTAAGCAGTTCAACAGGGAAGAAAAAAAACAACTCGGATATCCTGAAACGAGCTAATGGCAGAAAAAAAATCCAGCCAAGCGCATGCCTAGAGTAGCTCATCATCTTTCACTTTCTTTCACAGCATCAGCCCAGATTCACTTTCAGTTCAGAAATAAAAAAAATCCCTACAAGAATTCAAACTCTAGATAATTATCTGGCCCCTTTTGGTTAGCGACCGGCGCGACCTTTCCATTTGCTGATGGCACTTGCTTTGGGCGGCACTCGAGCTCAACAGGCTTTGGTATGTCTGGAGGCCTCGCGCACCTTATGAGAGCCCAGTTCACGCCCTCGAACGAAGGATGCTGCTTTATCTCGGTAGCAACACGCTTGTACCCAAGTCGGTGCTGCGGGTCCTTGACTAGCAATCCCCTTATCATGTCCCTCGCAGAGAAGCTCACTATTGGTGACTCTGGGAACCTCAAGGGCTGGCCCACAACGTTGAAGAGTGTAGCCCCGTTGCCTGAGGTGGTATTTAAATCCAGTGAGGAAAGTTTAGAGATATCACATTAAGTGTTATATGGGGTGGTCGGATATTAATAAAAAAATAAATTACAGAATCCGCCAGTAATCCGCGAGACGAACTTATTAAGCCTAATTAATCCATCATTAGCACATGCTTACTGTAGCACCGTATTGTCAAATTATGGACCAATTAGACTTAAAAAATTCGTCTCACAAAGTAGAGACAATATGTGTAATTAATTATTTTTAGTGTATATTTAATACTTCATGTATATGTCTAAATAGGCGATGTGATAGAGACTAAACTTTAGAGGGAGAACTAAACAAAGTCTGAATGTTTGAAAGGGGTCTTGCCGAACAACAGCTGGTACAAGAGTATGCCAAAGGTCCACCAATCCACAACACTTCCATTCCATGGACCATGGCCCTCCCCTTTTATTATTTCTGAGGCCAAGTACTGATGAGTACCAACGAAGGACATTGAGCAGGCACGACTTTGGTGTGATAATATTGGAGCAATATATCTCTTAGCAAATTCTGCATTTCACACTAGAACAAAACACATTGAGGTGGACTATCATTTTATCCGAGAATGTGTCACTTCAGAAGCTATTGAATATCCTGCTCATATCTACAGGTGATCTAAGTTGCAGATGGTTTCACTAGACCCCTCACTATTCAGAAGCTTCAAGATTTTTGGCACAATATTAACTTATGTAAGTTATGATTGAGGGGGACTGTTAACATATATATAAACAAACAATTTATATTAATCGTGATAGACCTGTATCGGTAAGGATACGTTGTTGTGATTGTATTCTATAGTTTTCATGTACCTATGATCTAGCTTTCCTAACCAGTTAAGGAAATCACGGTGAATCTTGTAAGGGAGTGCCTAGTACCACATACATATTTCCACAAAAGAATCTACATGTACGAGTACTATGTACCACATAGCGCGTACTGTAGGCTATTATTGTTGACCATGGATCCATGACCACACGCGATTGCTAAGTCACTTCCAACGGTGCTTCACACAGGACCGCACAGATCGAACCAACCGATCGAGAAGGCGCCTAATGCTTTGCTATAGGGACAAGGACAGAAAAGGAGCCAACCCGGAAGATGTCCAGCACGAATTTTAACCAGATATTTACCACGTGATTCTCGGCCACGAACCAGTGCCACGTCGTCCCGAATTGTTTCATCCGTCGGATCCTCCATCGTGTGGCCCTAATTTGTTGGATCGGATTCTACTGGAAGCACCTTCCCGTGCCTCTTCTTACCTTATTCGGCTTCTCCTTTGCTTCTCTTTACCTTCTCCGACTCCTCATTTGAATTCAGTCAACTTTATTTTATTTTTAACCCTATATTTACCGTGTGATTCTCGGTCAGGAACCAGTGCCACGTCGCCCCGAATTGTTTCATCCGTCGGATCCTCCATCGTGTGGCCCTGATTTGTTGGATCGGATTCTACTAGGAGCGCCTTCCCGTGCTTCTTCTTATCTTCTTCAGCTTCTCCTCTGCTTCTTTTTACCTTCTCCGACTTCTCGTCCGAATCCGGTCAACCAAATATATACCCAGCTTCTTCTTGGCTTCTGCTTCTCGTTCAAAATATCTCGCCTCCTCCTCCTCTCTCCCTCTCCCCTCGCTACTCGCCCCGACCCCCGTCGTTCCCCGTGCTGCGGCCACGGCGCCGTCCGGGCGGCGCCCCGGCGCGGGTGGCGCGGGTCCGACCCCGACACCGGCGGCGCACCCGGAGCGGCCGC